GTTGTGGAGTCTTTTCCATCTAATCTCGTATTTCATGTTCAAAAGAATCGCGTGAGAGATTTTCTCAGTTATGGGAATAATAAACATTCCAAGAAAAAGGTTTTGTTTCTTTTTCATCGTGGATCATTGCTCATATTGCATTTAGGAAACTTACCTTTTATTATTTTTCCAGGGTCATTTAGATATCGAGTCTGTCAGTCAACGGGATAACTTTGTTACGCGTCTTAAAAGGTTTTTTGGCGGTGAAACAGAATTAGATCAAATTCCATTACTCGAACAGTCAGATCAACAGCAGAACCCTAACTCTGAAGATATTCGAAGAGATGGTCCCCTCACAAGCGAGCAGGTCAACGATGAACCAACCGAGATGCTCATGGATGATTATCACGAACGTCAAGCATTGAAGGCCGACTTCATCGCTGCACATCCGAATTACGATGCTTCGCTTTGGTTCTTTTGCCCTCATAACAAGTTTCGACGGTTCTGTCAGCTTCTTGTTCCGTCGAGTCATGGAAAACGCATCTTTGGCACTCCCCATTCGAAAGAATTGAGTTTTGTATTCAACACAATAATTTATTTGTGTGTCATTGCAAGCGTGGTCATTGCTACAATTGCGGTTCCTACGTACATAAAAAAACATTACGTCCGCTTTGATGGGTCCTACTCGAGGTATACCTGGTTCTGGTGGACGGACGTGGTTTTCACCATTGTGTTCACCATCGAATTTCTCATCAAAATCATTGCCGATGGTTTTCTATTGACACCAAATGCCTATATGTTAAACGTTTGGAATCAACTGGATCTTTTCGTTCTTATTACTTTTTATGTAAACATTGTGATTGGCGCTAATGTCAGCTCATCTGGCGTATCGAAAGTATTTCGGGCGCTGAAATCGCTTCGTGCTCTAAGGTTGATTAACCTAACGAGCTCAACAAAAGAAATTTTCTATGCAATCCTAATTTCAGGAGCCCCGAGAATATTTGACGCATCCATCCTGTCCCTCGGCCTAATCATACCTTATGCGATATACGGAACGAACATTTTTGCCGGACTTTTCCTCTTATGCAATGATGACTCCGTGAGCAATAAGACTCAGTGTGTTGATGAGTACATTGGATCACCAATTCTTCATTGGAGCTTCCCCTTGCCAAGGGTTTGGACCAAACCCTATTCGTATAGTTTCGATGATTTCAAGTCAAGTTTTCTGATTCTGTTTGAAATCGTGTCTGAAGAAGGTTGGGTTGATGTTATGTCAAGTTCCATGACAATTGCCGGACGGGATTTGCAACCTCAGCCGAATGCATCGATTTGGAATGCAATATACTTCTGTGTGTTCAACCTGGCGGGTGCAGTTTTCGTTTTGACCATGTTTGTTAGCGTCATTGTTGCCAATTATCAAGAGAAATCCGGGGATGCCTATCTCACTGAGGAACAAAAGCGTTGGGTAGATCTTAAGAAATTGCTGAAACGAATCAAACCATCGAAAAGGCCAAAAGTTCGACCGACAGGTCGATTTAGGTCTTTATGTTTTGATTATGCGGCAGAAAAGAGAGGCACCTGGCATAAATTTATTACTGGAGTGTATATCCTACATATCCTGTTACTCATGACTGAATTTCGAAACTCGACACATTGGTTTGGACTTTTCAGACGTAAAAAAAATTTTTTTTTTTGTTCCTTAGTATAGGCCTTTATCAATTTTTCTCCAGTCGTAACTTGTAGATCCTTTCCCCCTTTGCAGATATCCTTTTCGCCATTTTCATATTGATCTATGTCCTCGATGTCCTTGTAAAATTAATTGGCTTCGGTTGGAAAGTTTTCAGGAGCGATCGATGGAACCTTTTTGACGTGGTGGTTGTTCTCGGTGCTGCCGTGACCACGGCACCAACTGTATATCCGTTATTTAAAAACGAACTCATATCTCAGCTTCAGAAAGTATTTTTGCTGTTGATAACTCTTAAATTGTTTCAAAAAAACGACACGATGAACCAATTATTCAAGAACGTGATGTAAGTTGGATCCATTTTCACTAGTGTTAATGGTATTTTGAAAATTAATAATAATAATGACAATTCACATCATATGCAAACGATTAGTGGGAGTCTTTCATCTATCTTTAATCTATTTGCAGTATGGTTCATCATCTTTCTCATCTACGCAATAGTATTTATGGAGATATTTGGGCTCACCAGATATGGCAATAACGGAAATGATCATGTAAATTTTCGAAATTTTGGTAACTCCATGCTGACGCTTGCTCGAATGTCCACAGGGTAGGTAAGCTTTATGTGGTGTCACTGCTCACCAATAATAATTATTAACTTACATTTCACTTTCAGCGAAGGTTGGAATTCTATTATGCATGACTTCACTGTTGAATCACCATTCTGCGTAGAAGACAAGTCATTCTTCAATTCTGATTGTGGAAGTACCAAATGGGCTTATTTTCTGTTTATCTCATGGAGTGTGTTGTCCATGTATATATTTACAAACATGTTCATCGTCGTCGTTGTGGATAATTTTTCATATTGTTATCAAATTGCTGCCGAATTTTCTTTGATTAATCGAGACGAGATCAGAAAATATCCTTTTATTGTTTCTCCCGACTTTCGTAAAGTTATCAGGCATCTGTAGCTTCCTTAACTGCGCATTTTTAACTATTCACGTTTAAGAAAGCTTGGGGTCTGGTAGACACAGATCGAACAGGATACATAAAGAGTCGAGACTTTTCAAGATTTTTTGCCGTATGCTCAATTCCATTGCAATATTTATTGTTATGTGTAGTATTTATTCAATCAATTGTTGCTTAATGTTTTGAATTTGCAAATAGAAACTCGAAGGATCCTTTCGGGTTCGGATCTATGATGACGAATTCCTTGTTCCGAATTTAATCAAGAACTCAAGAGTCGATAGCGAAGCCATCGGGAATAAAAAGGGAACAAATATTCTTAAAGTCGGTTATCTGGATGTCAGAAAATTAGAAAAATGCTTGAGCAAAATAAATTTGAGCAAAGTATACGAAAGGCGAAAAATGTACAACTGCATTTATCAGGTAAGGTTTTTATGGAGAGCACAAATCACAAGATTTAATATAACAATTCATTATTGTTCTTAGGAAGCGTTGCTATCGATCGAAAAAGATGTTAACGGAAACGAAAAAGGAATCTCCTTTACCAATATGCTCTTGACGCTTGCTCACTATAAGCTTATCGATGACGATAAATGTCTACAGTGAGTTGTAATGATAATTAGTTATTATTTTAACAACTAAAATTTACGAATCTTTTTAATAAAATCTTCAGGATACAAGAATTTGTCAAAAGAAAAGCAAAAACCGAGAGAATTGCAGACAATGTCAATAAAGATCGAGTAAAATCATTGTTACGCGCAATCTATTTGCGTCGAAAATACAAAAGCATCAAAGATCAACGTTCAAGCACAGGAAAAACAAATGAACCAGGTATTGGGTTGTTTTCGCCGGTGGCTTTTTAGAAAATTTGCTTCATCTAATTTATTCTTACAACCTCAGTTCCCAAGATCTTGGTCGATATGTTTAATGATAAAGAACAAGAGAAGACAAGAACGCCGAGTCTCATAATCGATACAGGAACAAATTCACAAAAAATCAGAATTTCTATGTATTCAGCTGGCGCACAAAATTCTCCCGGATCCGATGAACCGCCAACCAGAAACTCCTTAAGTCCACTTTCAACTCATAGTGCGCTAGATCATTCGCTAACAAGATATTCAGGAAATATGTATGTGATTCCTCTATGATGATCTTAATTGAAGAGTATGCTATTCTAATGTACATTAACGTTGGAATCATTATTAGGTCACCTATAATAGATAATAATACATGGGATCTAATCGACATTAATACCGAGATGGACGAAGAAACAGCAAATCGAGTGTTAACCACTTTTCACAATACTCATTGGCACGGTAATAATTCTATAAATATTTGGAAACACGTGTATTTTTACTTATCTATTTTCACATACGCTAATTTGTAAATTTGTCCCTAGGTGTGCTACAACAAATGTCGCAAGAAAATTCTACATAGTTCATTCCATAGTTGCATTCATTACTTTACATTCATAGTTGCATCTGTCACGCGTCACATCTTTTATTCATTCAATCATTCCAATATTGGAAGTGATCATCATTTGCATCACCTAATTTATAATAAATAAAATTCGCTTCATGTCAAATAGTCAAATAACCTTTATTTTAGTCATAATAAAGATGTCCGTTAAATCACCTGAATATATAAATCAAAATGACTTGAAGGATCTTATCAAAGATAAAAGTAAAGTTCCCAGTGTTGATTATTTGGTTTTTGACGTTCGCGACGATGATTATGTGGTACGAATGGCACAAAAAATGACTTTATAAAAAAAATAAATAATCTATAAAATCGTAAGAATGCCGTTAACATTCTCTTCACCATTCACTATTTGTTCCAGGGAGGAAATATCCCGCATAGCATCAATGTCCCATCTAGCCAGATTAATGATAAACTAGATGAACTGAGGT